ATATTTTATATTGAAAAATCTCTTAAGATATGTGTCACACACACAGAGGGAGTTGGTCAGCAACATACGGTATATTCCCATTTTTGAAACAAAACAATTCAAAACAGGTGAGTGTAGGGGGAGACCTTTGCCCAAGGAGGCTGGACTCAGCGCTAGGCTGGAATTTGTGCTCCAAGTCCCTAACATGGAGGCCGGGCACCAGCGCTCTTGGGCAGGGGACCTCGCGCAGATAGGCTCAGTTTCCCCACGGCGGACGCCGACTCGAGGACACCGGAATATGCCCTGCGGTTCTCACTACCCCGGATGCCTCCGCGCCTGGGGCCCACAGGCTGGCAATTGCGAGAGAGCCGGGAAAACCGGAAGTTGGAGTGAGGCAGCCGGACGGGAAATGCGGGCACACCGGTCACGGCTGGGCGGCTTTAGGGTGACTCTCCCCATTCCGTGGGGCTGCCCCTCGGGGGCGCGGACGGGAGCGCGCAGGTGAGGGCGGCTGGGCGGTGCCGTGGAGGGGCGGGGTCACAGGGTCTTCAACCAGTCACCGACGTCTCCCTTGGGCGGTGCGGGGGCGGAGCAGCGTCGTTGCCTGGACGACGTGGTCCCGGCGTTTGTGTTCGGTGGTCTGCGGAGCTGGGCGGTGCCGACTGGTGAGCGCTGGGCTCCTGGGGCTCCTGCGGCTCCCAACGCTTCCTCTGCGGCCGCTTCGCCCTAGGGGACAGAGCCGCTGGGGCGTCTCCTCGAATCTGGGGGTGAATGGGCCGCGGGCCGCGTGAACTCCCACGACTTGGTCTTCAGTGGCCCTGGGGGTTCTTAGTTTTTTCTACTTTAAAAAACGTTTATTCCTGGGACCCCCATTTAACACACTGGTTTTCTTCTCTTTCGACGGTTAACATTCGCTTTTCTGTTTACTCAATTATTCCTGTTTTTCTTGGCCTCTCCCACATTCCTTTATTTTTTCCTATGATTTTTCCTTTCTAAGGCTAGATCTCTGAATTTTCCTGTCTCCAGCCTGGCTTAACTACCTTAATTAGTACCTGGTTATTGTTGTTTTTGTTACTTCAGATGCTTCTTTTTTTCTAGTTCTTTTTCCGGGTGTTTTTTTGTAAGGTCATCTTTAAGACCTGAGTAAGCTCCCAGGCCAATCTCTGAGGGTAGACCGTGATTTATTTCCTAAAGGTGGCGTCTTCTCCTTACTCAAGCGCAGTGAAGCTGCCTGATACCAGAGTTGGCATTTGTGTTTGCCGTGCCTGAAGCTCCGATAAGCAACTTCATCCATGATAGCTATCCCTATGACAGGCTCCTGAGGTGAGTACAGCCTTGAACTAGTGACTTGTGAGCTGGACAGCGGTGTTTTCTGTTGGAGTTGTATGGAGTTTTTTTGTTTTTGTTTTTGTTTTTGTTTTTTAATCGTCAACATTTAAAAATCAGAATATTTCACATAGAAATCTGATTATATTTGGCTTCTCTTGAAAAATCCTCAAGCTTTTGCAATACTGGGCCCCCAACTGTCCCCTTTAAACAAAATATGGTTTCTTGAGGTCCCTGAAGCCCTGCTCCACTCTGGTCTTACACTCAAGGCACTGATCATTTGTGGTACTGCCTGATTGCCAGATGCATTTAGGTTTTGATTTCTGCTTTACTTAGTGACTCACCCTGCCCAGGTGCCTTTCTGAACTCTTTCAGGGACTGAAATTCCTACACAACAAATCTGAGAGCCCTTCCTCCTAGACCTGCTTAGTCCTAGAGCCAGCCCTGGAAAGATTTCCTCTTATTCCCAAGAAGGGGCTAATGTCTGTCATATAGTAGGTGCTCAATAAATATTTTTTAACAGTCAAATAAATGTTGAAACTTCATTTGGTGTAGTTAGGCAATCCCCGGATGGGATCCAAACCTCTGGGCTTCCCCAGTATCGCTCCAGTGTCCCTTTTGTCTAGTAGAGCAACTTTGCCCAGGAAGCAGGACACACCTGCTCTTTTTGGACTCGGTGCACTCCTGGGATTGCTGTGGGCTGAAATGGTCCACCTCAGGAGTGAGTTCCCTACTCTAGACATTGGCTGTGCTCCTCAATGGAGATGTGCTCACAGATTGAGCAGTTCATCCTTCCAGGGATCTCTGTGGCTTTTTCTTTTTGTAGCTCTCGCTGGCTTGAAAACAATATTAATTTTTGCTACACTTTTCTACATCTCTTTTTACCTTGAGTTTTAAAACACCTGGAAATACCGACCAGAGACAAATCCCAGGGGTAATTTTTCTTTCAGCAGAGTGACAGTAGAATGGAGCAGAATTCTAAGATTCCTAAAACATTTTAACTCCAAAGGAGAGTTACAAACTCAGAATGCTGCAGGGGCCAAGTGGGGACCAAATGTGAGGAATACAGGTCCAGGGTTGCCAGATGTTCTGATTTTTCAAGAAAATCAATTTTATGAGAATTCTTCTAAGTTTTAAATGTTGGAAATTAAATTTTTTAAAAAATTAAACCCTTGTGAGCCTTCATATTATGCCCATGAGCTGGTACAGGGGCCACTCATGCCTGTCTGGGTTAAGTGGATGCATCCCATGGGACTCTGATGGGTCAAAGGCAGTGGGCATGGGAACATTTCCTGGAGAAACCTTCTTGGACTCTCACTCAGGGCTGGCCCCTACCCCTTTCCTGATTGAGAGGTGGACTATGAAGCCAGGGATGTCTGAAGGTCTGGGACCCCATAGACAGATGGGTCAGACCTCTTTATCCCCTCTATCCCCAGTCTTGAGAAGGAGCTGGGGGTAGGGGTGGGGAATCTAGAAAAATCAAATTGATCCCACATCTTTTTGAGGTGTAGAGCATCAGGAGGTGAGGGGCCCCAGGCCTTTTTGTTTCCTAAGTTTGCCCTTATAAAGAGAGAACTCTGTCCTACTCTTAGGAGGAACCCAGAGGACCTGCTGACCAGCCTGGGGACCTTAAATGAAATCCAGGGACATCTCCACAGAGACACCATAGACCTTCAGAAGCACTGAAGGGTGCTGAAAAGGACCATCATGCCCCTCCACCCAGCAGTGTCCTTCCTCCTTTGAGGATAGTTGCAATGCTCTCTTTGAAACATCAGATATCAAAATCCTCCCACAAAATATATTTTCCCATTTTGGAGCCCCTGCTTGGCTGGTATCACAAGTATGTATGAGCCTGGTAAAGTGATCATGAGCTGGCAATGCAGATCTGGAAGTCACCTCTCTGCCAAGAGCAGGTGCAGCTCGCCTTGGGACCCCAGACCCGGAACCCTCGAAGCCAGGAACCCTGTAGGACTGCAGCTGCACGGGGAACAGGATTTGGGAGGGACTTCCTGTTGTCCTTAATCCCAGTCTCCACCCGGCTCCCGTTGCTGGCTGCAGAGACTCCTTTCCCAGGGGAGGGGGCCCTGCTTCCCAAGGTGCCCCCTCCACCTCCACCTCAGTAAGAGGGGGGCTTGGGAGGTCCCCTGGACCCTGAGACTCTTCTGGGTGGCTGCTGGCAAGAGGAAACGGGGTCAGAGGTGGACATCTTGGAGAGAAGGGCCGGGACTCTGGTTGGGGAAGGGGAAGGACATCATCTGGGAATGTGAGCAGGATGGAATCCTGGGCCCAGGCGGGTGGTTGCAGCCACAGGGAGGGCTGCTGAGAGCTGGCGGCTCAATTTCTGGTTCCTAGGCAGGCCGAGGCAGGCCGAGTCAGGCCGAGCAAAGGGCATATGTGTGTCCTGGGCCAGGGAGATGGCAGGACACACAGTTGAGCTAGCTGTGGCAGGCGGGGCCCCACCCAGCTCCTGTTTTGTAGGATCTCTACAGACTTTTTGGCTCTTGATGACAGGAGATACAGATTCCTAGTCAGCCCTGGCTTTCCCTGAGCTAGTTGCTCTGAGATTCAGGGCTCATGTTTCAGTAACAAAAGGGACAATACAAAATAGCATTCTGTCAAAGTGAAGGACTGAAAAACAGAGAGAGAGAGGCTGTTTGATGGCATCGGGGAGGCTTTATTTCTGATTGGGAACAGAGGTGGGTCTGGTCCTGTGTGGGGATTTTCAGGGCATTTCAGAGGTGTCCAGGAAACACTCGCTGATTTCCTTTTGCTCTTCCAGGTTCCTGGCCAGAGCTGGAAGGGGCTCGGCCCATAAGAGGAAACTGTGCTTTTAGCTCTGAGATAGAAAATGTCTGCAGACGGTGGAGGTAACCCTGCTACCCAGGACAAGGAGAGAGCCCAAGAGGTATGGATGGGGCTCTGGGTGGGGGAGCCATGCCCTAGAAAGAACCAGAGCAGGATGGGATCTTCAGGGCAGGGCATCTGGACCAATGGAAAAGAGTTGGACTCACTGGGGCAAGAGGGCTGGTGGATGGGGGTTAAGGGGGATATTGAAGAAAAGGTAGTGTGATGGGAAATGCCTTCCACCTGGGAATCAACTTCTGTGGAACGGCATTGCTTGGCCTGGTAAATTCCGTAGTCACCAGACCAAAGGCCACATGAGGCAGCAGGGAAGCTGTTGCGGTTCCTACTGGTGAGGTTGGCTCTCTGAACAGCACCCAGAGCACACAGAGAAGCCTCAGTCTACCCTCTACTGCCCTCAGCATGGGACCCCATCTCTTCTCTCTCTGGATCTGAGCACCTAAGCCTTCCTGTACCTATTGCCCATGTGTGTGTGTAATTAACCAGAGTCACTAGGCTTGAAATCAGAGGAATATGAGTCAGCCATAGTCAGATGTGTGACCTTGAGCAAGTCCTCTGGCAACCAAGTGTGTGACCGATAAAATGTGGATCATGTGCCTATTGTTCCCATCCATCTCACACAGGTGGTTGGCTCGGAGGAAATAATGGGCACAAGAGTCCTCTGTAAGCAGTTTGTCAATCCACAGGAGATCATTATTTTAACATATAAAACAAGAACACCCACAGCAGCTGGAACCTAGGTCAGAGAGACTGTGTCCCCTCACCTAGTAATTTCAGTGGTTCTGAGTACAAATACAAATCAAGTATTATTATTTTTCCGCTATAGAAGCACAGGTCATTGTTACCACTGTTTGGTTTCCCTTCCACAATGCCTTTGTAACAGACAGGCCTCATACATTCACAGCATTCTCTGCTGATGTTGGGTTCTGTTAGCCCACACAGTAGAGTAATAATAATAATTACAGGCACCGTTCTGTGTTCATCTAGAACTTTCCAGAGCGGGCAGCACTTTCTCACTTGTTATCTGTGTGGGAGGCATAGTTGCTGAGTTTCTGAGGCTGCTTCACCCCACCCTTGTTGTTCCCAGGCACTCTGACTCATGGCCTTGGGTCTTTCCCTTAGAGACCCTAATGCAGATGGAGATGGGGGATAGTCGGGGAGGGATAGGCATGAGTTCCCAGCAGAAGGCTGGCCAGTCTCTGTGCTGTGGATGACAATGAGGTTTCGTCAGGGGCCTTACAGTGCAAGGGAAGTGACTTCCCTGAGGTTTTGTGGGGAGGTAGCACCTGCTCGGAGTTGAACAGCTAGTGAGGATTGGCTCTGGATTTGAGCCCTGGTCGACTGACTGAAACCTGCTCCTCACCCTCCCAGAGTGCTGGGGTAAGACTAGTGTGACAAAGAGGGGACCAGCTGGGAGGACCCTGAAGTCCCACTATGGGGGCCAGTACTGAGGGGGTGAGCAGGAGAGGATTTGTCCTCTGTTAGACCAAGGTGGACACCACGCCTCAGCACGCTTAGTGGCACCCTTGGGCTTTTTTTCTCCAAACCAAAAAATTCCAACTACTCCAACCATAATGAGTCAGGCCAGAAACAGCCCAAGGCCACATGACGCCTCCCTGTCACCTTCAAGACATGGTGACTTGAGAGTTCAGTATACTTGAGTTCAAATCCTTACTGAGCCACTCACAAGCTCCATGATCTTGAGCTGTTGTAGAATCTCTGAGCCCGTGTATGAGTGTCCTGGAGCTGCTGTAACAAAGGCCACAAACTGGGTGGCTTAAAATAACTGGAATTTATTCTCTCACAGTTCTGGAAGCCATAAACCCAAAATCAAGATGTCGACAGGCCTCTCTCTCAAGGATCTAGGGGAGGATCCTTCCTGCCTCTTCCAGCTTTGGGGGGCTCCAGGTGTCCCTTGGCTGTAACAGCATCATTCTAATCTCTGCTTCTGTCTTTGCATGATCTTTTTCGCCATGTTTCTGTGCCTTTAATAGGGACAGTAGTCATTCGATTTAGGGTCCAACCAAAATCCAGGGTGAGTTCATCTCAAGATCCTTAACTAATTACATCTGCAAAGACCTTTTTTCTCAATAATGTCACATTCCAGGTTTCCCAGCAGACATGAATTGTGGGGGGACACAATTCAACTCATTACACTTGGTTTCCTCATATTTAAAAATAACAATCCATACTGCTGTAGAAGGTGCAAGGCTTGGATTGAGAAGAGGCAGCTGCCCTTTATGCACCTGTCCAGGCTGCACTTGGCAGGGCCTTTAATAGCCTGCCTGCTTTTCCTTTCGGGGGTGAGCATGAGATGCACAGGTCCCTAGGGACTAGACAAAGAAGCAAGGCTAGTCCTTTAAGCTGTGTCTTGCATTTGGTTGTGTGTTCGGCGACCTTAGGTATCTTCCCCTGCAGGGACCTCCTGGGCATGGAGGGCATGGAACTTGGCTGTCTCCCACTCTCCGTGCCAGTGCTGATGGGGGCTGCCATTCCTAGGTTCCAGGTCATGGGCATCCTTGTCAAGAAATGCTTTCCCAGTCAAAGGAGATGGTGCCTTTGGGAGCCACTCAGGAGTCACCCCACATCAAGACAGAGCCTCAAGAACTGCACCCCGAGGGGGCATCACAGGAGGACAGGGATCACGGAGCTTGGGGCTGGACACCCCTAAGCCAGGGATCTGCAGAGAAAGCTCTTTTCCTGCCTGGCAGAGGTGAGGAGAAGGATGTGGAGAGAAGCACTTTCCTGAGCGGCAGCTGTGGGGTGGAAGCTCACAGCCCAGGAGTGGAGAGATCCCTGCCATGGTCACGAGAGATGCCTGGATGTCTGCCCACTCACCTCTTGGAGGCCGCCCCTCATAGCCTCAGAACCTATTGCCCCTCTTCTGGGGTGGGTTGAAGGGTGGGGGTTAAGGCAGCCATGGATGTACCAGGCATGAGCCCATTTAGGGGGTTACAGGAGGACCCAGCAGGATGAGGTGGCCGCCCTGAGGACCTCTCTCCTCTCTCAGCCCTCCCCTCCCCCCAGTTCCCTGTGCTTTCCCATGAGGGGAGGACCAGAGACCGGCAGATGGCTGCGGCACTCCTCACCGCCTGGTCCCAGGTGAGTGTCCCTGTCTAAGGCTATAGGAGAAATAGAAAGATGTGGAGGGACAGTGTCTCTGACTGAATTGTCCTTCAGATCTGAGCACCGGACCTGAGGGTGGGGGCTGGAAAGGAACGTACTGGAGATCCTGAGCTTTGGCTGTGATGTCAGAAAAGAAGGCCTCCCTTGCTTTTGCCTACTGTCTTCTGCTGTACACAAATGCCTTGTTCTTGCCCCAGAAAAGCCATCCGTGGGCAGCTCCTGCTTCACCATCAGACCTGAGGGGAGGCTTCATTCAGGGCAGCAGGTTGGGAGTCTGGGGTCTCAGCTTCATCTTGGCACCATCAGGCCTTTCTATGTGTCCTGGTATGTCCTACAGAGTGGGTGTTTTGTGTTGTTTCAGATGCCAGTGACCTTTGAGGATGTGGCTTTGTACCTCTCCCGGGAGGAATGGGGACGGCTGGACCACACTCAGCAGAGCTTCTACCATGATGTCCTACAGAAGCGGAATAGGCTGGCCTTGGGTAAGGGCTGGCGCTTACACTGGGGCGGCAGCTTCCTGAGGCCCTTGATGTCAGAGGTGGGGCTCATCCCAATGCCACCTCCCTGTTTCCCAGGGATTTAAAACCCCTCGTTTCATCTAGACCAGTGGTCCCCAACCTTTTTGGAACCAGGGACTGGTGCTCCTATGAGAATCTAATGCCTGATGATCTGAGGTGGAGCTGAGGCGGTGATGCTAGCGCTGGGGAGCGGCCACAAATACAGATGAAGCTTTGTTCGCTCGCCACTCACCTCCTACTGTGTGGCCCAGTTCCTAACAGGCCATGGACTGGTACCAGTCCACAGCCCAGGGGTTGGGGACCCCTGATCTAGACCGCGCTGTTCTGTAGAAACTTCCTAGTGATAGACGTGCTCCGTATCTCAGCTGAGATGGTAGCCACAAGCCAAATGTGGCTGTTGAGCACTAGAAATGTGGTTAGAGCAACTGAGTATTTAGTTTTATTTCATTTTAATCAAATGAAATTTGAACTGAAATAGCCACACGTGGCTAGTTGGCTGCTGTACTAGACAGTGCCAACTTAGAGTTTCTGCTTCTCTTTGGTTCTTCCGTAGTTCATCTTATTCCTGTAGTTCATCCTCTTTTTCCATGAAGTCCAGCTTTAAAAGTGTGTGAACAGAAAGCTTGGCCCTGGGGTCAGGGCTGCATGACCATGGTGGGGGAAGCATAGTGCCAGCTGACTCTGCAGACCCATGGACTCTGAGCTTTCACATATGCCCCAACAGGCGTGTCCTCTTCTCAGAGAACCCTTGGCTCCCTCGATTTTTCTCACAGTAAGTAGTTAAGTCCTGGGGCTTTGACTCCTCAATTTCAGACTCTAGTTTTCTTGGCAGATTTTTATGAGATCTTATGGAAAACCCAGTGTTCATTCATTGTCATCCATTCATTCAGTTTGTCAACACACATCTGTTGCACATCTACTAGTCCAGATGAAGCTGGGGCCTTGGTAATGCCACCTTTTGACTTCAGTAGTGGGCCAAGACCTTCACTGTCTTGGAGGACCCCAGGATCACAGCCATCTTGCTCACTTCTTTGATTATCTCAGGTTTGCTTACCACCCGTTGTTAACACTCCCAAGGCTCAGACCAGCAGGTCTGAGACAAGTCTTAGATCTAGAGGGACCCTAGCACCCATTTGCAGCCCTGTGGCAGGCCTCATAGATGCTGTAAACCACCTGGTTGGTCCAACACATTCCTTTTTTCCCATAGAGCTTGGATCAGGTCATGGAGGCCAGGCCCTCTGCTACCTTACTGACTTGACGAGAATTCCTGGGCCTTCACCTGGGGACTTGGCAAATGGCCCTTGACTTCTGGGTGTTCAGTGTCCCTGGCCCTCTTCTCCCAGGCCTTCCCACTTGGCATCTCTTTGCCTCTGGCCCTCCCACAGGAACCCTTTTTGCCGATGGCTCTAGGAAGGTATAGGTGCAAGAGTGAGAGATTGTTTGGTTTCCAGAGTTGCCAGGCCCACCACTGGGCTATGCGAGGATGGGGGTTTCTGGCAGCTGACCTGGCCCAACCTTTACTTCTGTTGCTCATTCAGGGAAACAAGACAGAGCCTCAACTCAGCCCCAAAAGTGTGTCTGGTGGTGACCATGGAATGTGCTTCTTAGAGAGGGTGGACACCTGACCCTAAGCAATTTTTGTGCTCACCTGGTTTTATCTCCCGTTTCCAGAGCTGCACCTGCTCCCCTTTTGCTCTGTTAGTTTTTGGGGGTGTGTGTCTCCTGCTGGGAAGTCCAGAAGGCCCATGACTGAGTGCAGAATCTCTTTTTGGGCAGAGTTTCCCTTCAGCAGAACTTTTTGGGCCTCCCAAGTTCAGGGCAAGGGTAAGGCCTCAAGCTCGTGCCAGCAGACAGGAGATGAGGATAAGAGAGGTGCGTGCAGAGGTGATGGGTGGGCAGTGGGGTCATCACTGTCACTCCTGGGTGCCCCTTGTCAGTGCAGGCTCTGTTTCCCATGGGGTGCAGACACATGGCCCTTCCTGGGGGAAGGGCTCCCATCGGGTCCTTTCCTTTGTCTCCATCTCTGGAATTCCCCTGGATCCCTCACAAAAGCCTCTCTGGCTGGAAACCCTTTCTCCAGGAGCGGTGGAGGTGGGAAAGGAGCCTATGCCATGCCCGGCATCCCATGGGGATGTGAAGTCCTTCAGGACCAGGGCAGAGAGAGCCCATGGGGACAGCCTGCAGTGTGGGCAGCAAGCAGCTAGAGGCCAGAGCCCTGGGCCAGCCAAAGATGATGGGCAGCCCAGTCCCCTGGAGGAGAGACAGCCAGAACCAGCCCCACTCGACACCGGTCTCCCAGAGAAATCCAGTGAGGAGGAAACCGGGGCCCCTGAGAGCAGTGAGGAGGGCCTGGCCCCTGATGGCGATGGTGACGCCAGTAAGAAGACCTACAAGTGTGAGCAGTGTGGCAAGGGCTTCAGTTGGCACTCCCACCTGGTGACACACCGGCGCACGCACACAGGCGAGAAACCCTATGCCTGCACAGACTGCGGCAAGCGCTTCGGTCGCAGCTCACACCTCATCCAGCACCAGATCATTCACACGGGCGAGAAGCCCTACACCTGCCCCTCCTGCTGGAAGAGCTTCAGCCACCACTCGACACTGATCCAGCACCAGCGCATTCACACAGGTGAGAAGCCCTATGTGTGTGACCGCTGTGCCAAGCGCTTCACCCGTCGTTCGGACCTGGTCACCCACCAGGGCACGCACACAGGTGCCAAACCCCACAAGTGTCCCATCTGCAGCAAGTGCTTCACTCAGAGCTCGGCCCTGGTCACCCACCAGCGCACCCACACAGGGGTCAAACCCTACCCATGCCCCGAGTGCGGCAAGTGCTTCAGCCAGCGCTCCAACCTCATCGCGCACAACCGCACACACACTGGCGAGAAGCCCTACCACTGCCTCGACTGTGGCAAGAGCTTCAGCCACAGCTCACACCTCACGGCCCATCAGCGCACCCACCGTGGCGTCCGGCCCTATTCCTGTCCCCTCTGTGGCAAGAGCTTCAGCCGGCGTTCCAACCTACACCGGCATGAGAAGATCCACACCACGGGGCCCAAGGCCCTGGCCATGCTGATGCTGGGGGCAGCAGGAGCTCTGGCGGCACCCCCACCAGCTCCCACCTAGGAGGCGAGGAAGGTGGGTCCAGGCCCCCAAGGAGGAACAAGGGCAAGGGAAGGGTGTTGGGGAGGTGCTGGCTTTGGGATGGGGCATGGCAACGGAAAGAACTAAGGCAAGGAACAGGCACGCTAGCTGCAAATTAAAGGCCTTGGAATTCAAGCCACGGCCTATTTCTCTGTCTTGGGGGGCCCTGGTGGCTGACCCCAGACTGGGAGGCTCTTGGGTCAACCATATGTCCTCACTCAGGTACCCCTGAGTCATCACTCTCAGGGCTTGGGCACCCTCTTTCCCAGCCTTGATCTGCCTTAGGGCCCAATCCAGATGTCTGGGACCATAAGTCTCCAGACAAAGAGATGGCTGGGACCATAAGTCTCCAGACAAAGGCTTCTTAGCACAGAGAAGTTTCAAGACCTGAAGCCAACCAGCCTTTTCTGGAATTGTGGGCCCTCTGGCTGGTGGTCTGCTGCTGTCATCACTCTCATCCCAGGGCCATTGCCCATTGAGCCCTGGACCCTCCCTCTGTTCTTTAGGAGCTGGGAGCTGGGCAGAGCCAGCTTGAGGACTCATGCTCATTGTCTCCTGTCTGCCCTGTCTTCTTCTCGGGCACTGGGGCCGAGTTTTGTAACTGGCCTTTTTCTATCTGCTTCCACTGGGGGCCAACTGTAATCCAGTGAGAATTGCTCACTTACCAGGGACCACTGTCCCTCCTGGTCCTTTCTGAGGCTGCTGCCATCTCCTTCTGCTACATGGCCTCTTCGTACATGTCCTTTGTGATTTGCCCTATCTACCCCTGCCTGGCTGCTTTACTCCTGGCTTTTGTTTTTTTTTTGTCTCTGTACTTTCTATTTCTTATTCTCTACTATTTTTTCTGGGAGGGGTGGACTCAGCATGCTTATTATCCAAGATTTTCAACTCAGCTCCCAAGATAATATGCATTTCTCACCTTGAGGACATCTGCATCAGGAAGGCCATTGAGATCCCACCTGGCTCTGTGGATCATGAGGCCAGCAGTATGGCTGCAGCCCTAGTTGGCTCCCAGCTCCTAAAGTACAAAGTGTCTTGAACAAGATAGCATACTGATGATAGTATAATAGCTGCCAGCTGCCCTGCCAGGTGTGGGGCTAAGCACCATATATATGTCACCTCTACTCTTCCCAATGCTGAGCAGTGGGTTTTATCCCAGTTTTATAGATGGGGAAGCTGAAGCTGAGAAGTTCAATAACTTGCCCAAAGTCATACAACCAGAGAGCTAGAAGCTGGGGTTCAGGGCCATGGATTTTACCATGTTAAAAATATCTCCATTTCCATGCACCCCAACAGCTATTGACTGTCTAGTGCATGATATTATGAGGCAGGGCTGTCTAAAAAGAGTAAGAGTAGATTTGACATTCTGGATTCTGGACTCAGCTGAAATACTTACTAGTGGGAGCCCAGGCAGGACTTGGTGGTATCTGGGAGGTCTCAGTGGAATTTAGGGTTAGCCTGCTGACAGGACTGGTTGAATTAGATGGTTCTTTCACAAAGAGGCAAGAAAGCAAGCAGTTTTCTCTCTCAGCTTGTTTTCCTGCCTCTGATCACAGCTATAAATGGAATTTCTCTGCTTGGCTCAGTGTGAGGGGCTGGGGGGAGCTTATGCACGTAAAGCAGGCTTGCTGTTCCCAGGAGCTTGTTTCCTAAAAAAAGAGGCAGGAAGAAGACTTGTTAAAACAACACTGGAGGTTGTCATCACTTGGCCCAAGCTTAGCACAGAGTACTCATTTGAACAGTGGCTATTTGCTTCCTTGGGCTGCATCGCCAGCACGTTGGGGCTTGAGTGACTTGGTGATCTGTGGAGTGAGCCAAGGAGTCATTTAAAAACTTCACTCTGCCCTCTGAGATCAGAGATCACAGTATCCAGGAGAAACTGTTTCTCCTTTTCATAGCACAGTGAAGAGGAATGTGGTTCCAAGAACCCCATAGGTCTCTGCTTCCTAGATCTCCATCCAGAGTCCACCATTTTGGGACAGACCTAGCAAAAGCATTTTAAGAGTGGAACTTGGCTGGGGCGTTGTGGAAGGGCCTGGAATGTCACGGTGGAGGGTGTTCATTATTTGGTGAGTGATGGAGCATCACTGAGAGGTAGCAGGCGGATACCACACTGTTGGTGTCTCTGGGTAGGAGTTGAGGCTCAGAAGTGTGGCCTGCTTTCTCCTGGCTTCTCAAACTTGACATCCCAGCTTAAGGGCACTGGAGAACATGACCAGGTTGCTTATGGTAAACCTGCACGTTCGAAGGAGGGTGAGGGCGGAGCGGGGAATATTCCCACTAAGCTTCATACACCTTTCCCGTGTGGCTGAAGGCTTGGCCCAGGTGCTGGCTGAAAGCGCTCTGGGCCCAGATGGCCGCGCTGCCCTCCCCATGCGGAGACGTAGGCCTGAGCACAGCGCTATTCCGGACAGTTCCTCGCGAGTTCGAGTGACCAAGCCAAGCGGTAAGGTCTGGAAACCTGCCAGGGTCTTCTCTGGGGACCAGCCACACGAGGTCACCTCGCAGCCTGGAGGATCGGTTCCGGAAGGCCCCGCCCCCCTGCTGCCCTTAGCCAATCTAGTGTCCCGGCGGAGAGGGGCGGGCTCCAGCAAAACTGGCCAATTATGGCTGGAGTTCTCGGAGCGGGCTCTTCCACGCCCCCAAGACGCACTATTGCCGGGGCAACTGTCAGATGCTCCCGGCTTTGAAACTTTGGTTTTTTCCCTTACTCTCGCGTCGACTGCGGGAGGAACCTACCACCCGGGCTGGACTCGGCTTCGTCACCAGCCCCTGACCCTTCAGAGTCGGCCCTGGGCCTACCACTGAGATGCGAAGCCTCCTGCTGGCCTAGAGAGGATGCAGACGGAAGGCCAGGGCCACATCCGGCTTCGCGCACGGAGCACGGGCGTGTAGTTACGGAGACCGAGACCCGGGTAATACGATCCCTTACGGTGGCCGGGCGGTGAGCGGCGCTGGGGGCGTCCCGGCCCCATCCCAGACACCTCCCGCGGGCACTCTAGCAACTTTTGAGCCCGGAGCAGGGCCTGACGGTGCTGCTAGGGAGAGCTGGGCGCGAGTGCGGCAACGGCTTGGAGGGAGACCGCGGTCCTCTTCTAGAGGAGCCGGGTAAACTGAGGCGGCCAGTGCGGAGGGTGGGGTGGGGGTGTAGCGTGGCTTTGGGTGGTGCGTTGGTCGGTGGTACAGGGTAGGGAAACGTTAAATGGAGGCTTTGCTGCATTCATTTATTCATTTTTCAAATACGAAATGAATGCATTCCAGGTTCTTTGCTAAATGTTGAGGAATGAGTCTTGAAAAAGCCAGACACGATCCTTGCTCCCTAGTGAGACTGCAAGCAGATAAACGACACATAATTTAAAGTAGTGACAAATGCCAGAAAGAAAGAACTGGGGTGAAGCAATGAAGGCTATTAAGAACTGATTGACCTCCTTTACCTCCTTTACCTTTTACCTTTAGAGAACGCCCCTGCAAGGAGGGAACGTTTAAGCTGAAACTTGAAGAATGACAGGCCATTTTATAAGGATTTGGGGGCAGAACCTTCCAAGCTAGGAAAACAAAATGAATAAAGGCCTTGTCATGAGGAAGAAATTGGTGTCCCAGAAGCTGTAATGACAACCCTGGTGGGAAGGAAAGGAGGCTAAAGAAGTGACACTTGCGAAGGGCTGTGGCCTGAGGTTTCTCTTTGATGTTCCATGGAGAGTAGAGAATGAGAAGTTATGAGGATGATCCAACCTTGCTCATTCATGCTCATGCTCATGCTCATGGTCCAACCTGTGAGGTCTGGTCAGACAGGCATGGGTTGCAGATGCAGCACTCCGTGGCCTGTGTCTCAGTCACGTCCCAGGGCCCACCATTTTTTCTTTTCTCAACTAACAAAGCTCCAGGCCAGCCATGAAGATTAATACAATCACACAGGCCACTGACCAGCACAATTTGTGCTGAAATATTCAGGGCAAAGTGGAAAAGATGCCTGGAGGGCCTAACTCCTGCAATCTCTTATGTACCCTATGTTCCTCTGGGCATACCCATATGACAGATTCCTCGTGATTGTAATTCCCTGGAACTAACCACTCTTTACTGAGCTCTTATTGTGTCTTAAGAGTTAATACTGGGCTAAGTGGTCTTTGTGTATCGTCTCATTTATGTAATCCTTATAACAGCCCTATGAGGTAGTGAATCAGTTAGGATTCAGTTCAACCCCAAATAACAGAGACCCAAAATAACAGGGTCTTAAACAAGATGGAAGTGTATTTCTCAAGAAAATGTCTAGAGGTAGGCCAGAGGTAGGCAGCCTATGGCAACAGAGATCCAGACTCCTAGCCTGCTGCTCCACTACTTTTAAAAGTGCCTGCTCAGGATCCCAAATTGAGTAGGATTTAACCATACATGCCATTTAAAATTTTTTAAATTAAATGAGAACACTATGTATAACTTTGTTAATAAATTTGAAATTATAGATGAAATGGATGATTTCCTAGAAAAAACAAAAACTATCAAGAAGACATAGAAATTCTGAATATTCAATATCCCACAGGAAAAATTATAAAAAAAATTTTTTTTTCTATTTTTCTTTTTAATGAATGAACTCTTAGTAGGCAGTAGTGCTAGATAGGGTATACATTCTGGTTGTAGTAGAGATCCAAAACAACAGTGACTTAAACATGGTATCTATTTCTCTGTCACATCACCTGCCTGGGTATAAATCCAGGGCTAGTTTGGTGGCTCTCCAGTCGTCAGGAAGCTAGGCACTTTGCATCTGATTGCTTTGAGACCATGGGTGTGACTCTCATCTGCATGGTCCATACCATGGACCATGGTATGGTGAAAAGAGAATAGGAAGCCATGAACCATCCCTTTCTAGTAAGATGCATATATCACATCTGCTCACATCTCATTGGCTTCAATTTAATTACATGGCCATACTTAGCTGCAGGAGAGGCTGGGAAAATATACTCTTTATTCTGAATGGCCATGTGCCCATTGAAAAATTCCTACTATAGAAGGAGAAAACTGATACTGGCAAACAACTAGCAGTGTTTCTGTTGTAAATGAGAATAGATGCTTCTTAATATGAGCATGGATATACATATCAGAGACAGTAGACACTTAATCGTAAATCATTAAAGATATTTTCATTAACCAAGACAGTGATGCTTGCTGTCCTAACATTGTTTAGGAAGTTCTGGACAATAATATAAGACTAAGAAAATGATGAGAATTAATTCTGGAAATGAATATAAATTTTTTGGAAAGCAAATGTTTACTTTTATTATTTGTAGATTATTTTCTAGCTAGAAAAATAAAACACCATCAGAAGGAAGTGAAAGTGCAATTAGATTGTCAATTTTAATATACTTATATACAAATAATTTATCATCTACCAGCAATGTCCAATATATGATAGGTGTGCCAATTATTAGTTTGTCTCAGCCCCCACTACATTTTTATTTTTGTCCCACTTTGTGATAACGAAGCTGGACCCTGTAGACATTTCTCCTTTGCTAGTCAATTTGATGTTCGTCTTTGCCAATAGAGGGCGTCAAAAGAGCACTATTAAGGCCACACTTGAAAAAAGGGACTTTCAAGTTCCTTCTTCCCCCAGTGTGTTTTTCTACCGGGGCCAGTAGAGGGAGGAGAGGGGCCCAGTAGCATCCACTTCAGTAAGTCTTCATAGAACAGTCTTGGCTCATTGCTCAAGCAAATGCAAGAAGGTATATGTAGAAATACATAAAATGGAAACAATCCAAGTGTTCAAGAGTAAGGGACTTTAAATACAGAACTTCCATGCTATGTAATACAATGCAGCTCGCAAAACATGAATTTTGTTTATAATTTTTCCATATAATGGAAAAATATAATGATATGGAAAAATATTCCTGATAGACTTTTTAAATTAAATTTATTGGAGTGACATTAGTTGATAAAATTATATAGGTTTCAAGTATAGAATTCTATAATACATTATCTACGTATTGCATTGTGTTCACACCCAAACTACGTCTGTCACCATATATTTGACCTCCTTTACTTATACCTATTTCCTTCCTCTTTTCCCTCTGGAACACAATGCTGTTGTCTGTGTCTATGAGTTTTTGTCTTGTTCATTCATTGCTTTCAGTTTTATATTCCACAAGAGTAAAGTCACATGGTTCTTGACTTTTTCTATTTGACATTTCGTTTAGGATGATATTCTCAAGACCCATCCATGTTGTTACAAATGGAAGTATTTCACCTTATGGCTGAGTAATACTCTATTGTGCATGTGTACCACATCTTTATCCAATCATCTATCGAAGGACACTTTGGTCATTTCCTTATTTTGACCACTGTGAAAAATGCTGCAATGAATATAGGGGTACATATATTTTTGTGGATAAACGTTTTCAAATTTTGGGGGTAGATACCCAGAAGAGGGATTGCTGGGTCATATGGTAATACTATTCTTAATTTTTTTTAGGAACCTCCATACTGTTTTCCATAGTGGCTATACCAATTTACATTCCCACCAGCAACGTATGAGGATCTGTTTTTACCCACAACCTCTCCAGCACTTACTACTTGTCTTGTTGGTAATAGCATTCTAACAGGTATTAGGTGGTATCTCATTGCGGTTTTGATTTGCACTTCCTTAGAGGCTAGAGAAGTTGAGCATCTTTTCATATATCTGCCTGCTATTTGTATGTCTTGGAGAAGTGTCTGTTCAGGTGCCCTGATAGACTTTTGAGTCAACAAAACATTACTTACATAAAATAATTCCAGGTTTATATTACAAATATCCACAGATGTAGAACTGTTAAAACAGGCTAAAATATTAATCGTGCTTATTTCTGAATGGCCTTATTAGGCCATTGTGCCAGAAAAATTCTGCTGGGACTAGAGCAGTGAAAACTTTCAGTCTGACTTCATGGAGCTTTTAGTTGAGTAGTAAGAGACAAATATTACACAAATGTCAGGTACTGATAAAATTTAGGAAGAAAAACAAGGGCAAAGCCATGGCAGGTGTAGGTGTGTTTGTGCGCGCACGCTGTTTACACAAGAAAAGCCACTTTAGGGGAGTGACATTTGAGCAGAGGGAGCTAGCCTTGTGGATATCGATACCTTTATAATTTTCCATATTTTCTTTTTGACACTAAGCGTGCAATACTTGCATAATCAAAACAAGAAAGCTCTATTTCAGAAAAAGATCTGAAGCCTCAGATCTCCAGGTCTAGGATTTAGTAGAGAGGGTGGGAACAGATCCAAATATGTGGAAAGGAGAACCCAGAGCTTCCCGGACATAGCCCGCCGGCTCTAGATTGTCCCAGGCCCCCGGGACCCCTGCCGCCCCTTAGACGAAGTTGGTGGTGGGAGAGTGTAGGACTACCCAGCGGTTAGCGTCCCCGCCTGCTGCGTAATGATGAGTGACCCCAGCCGACGCTGAAGGAAGGAGAATTGCCGCAAGAGGCTCCGCCTCTCTCACTGGACTGCATTTCCCAAGAAGCTCCACGCCCAGCTTGGAGCAGCTTAAGGCGGTCGAGGGCGGGATCCTAGAGGCTGGAAACCGATCTCCTGCGGTTGAGCTCCAGCTCCTGGGCCGTGGTCCCCTGGGTCCTCAACCCATTGTGCAGTGGAAAGAGCCGGAGACGGAGAAACGAGTCCGTCCCAAGCGCATCCCATTCTCCCCGTCCACTCCCCATCGATTAGAGCGGAGTCAGGGTCCATGGGCGAACGGCCTTCTGGGGGGTGTAGTTCCGAGCGCTTGCAGCGCCTGTGCCGCGCCGTTTCCCGGCGAACTCCGCGCGAACTTCCGGCCCCAGGACCTGGCGGCGGAACTGGGAACGCCTGAGTGGGTGTGGCGGTGTGTAGCGGGCGGGGG